CCCCAAAACCCCAAAACCCCAAAACCCCTTATATCTAATAATTTGTTGAAAAATGTTCTGGCAAAAAACTGCTACAATTGGATAATACACATCAGAGGTTATCCAAGATTGGGCTTAAGCTTTCTCCTGACGTATAGTTCAAAAGTAGGCAAGTCCTTAATGCATCTCTCTTGACGCATCCTAGCATAATCTCTCATCTTCTTAAGATCTTTGTACATATCTAACCCTTTCTTTGGAAGCACTGATTTTGGTCTTGGCATAGATTTAAAGTACTGTTGTTTATCCTTAATTTTACACCAAGATATAAGTTTTTGCCCTGATTTGTTCTTATGAATCAACTCACACATCAAATCTACCTAAAACCCCATCATAACAACCCATACCTTCTCAGACAAATCCTGATGGTAAGCACTACTCTTCACTTCTCCACTAGTCTCTCCCCTATCCAAAATCCCCCCTACCTAATAATCACCACAACCCCTTACCAATAATCCTCCCTCTTCCACCCCTCTCCTCCCAGCCAACGCCTCCACATCTCTTCTCTCCCTTCCCTTCCTGCCAACTGCTCTATCCCTACTCTCTTAATCCCAGCCCAAAATTTAAAAACTTACTTATCTTTCTTTAAAACTTGTGCTAGAAAAGTCCTTGTCTTCTTCCATTTTGTTCCTTTCAAGTTGGCTTCTAGAGGATGGTTAAGAACAGAATTAGGAGGTGGGTCCTGGGGGTGATGAGAATTGGGGGGGTTGGGAGGGAGGGGTTATTGAGGGGTTTTGGGGAGGAAGTGGAGTGGAAGGGGGTGGGGTTTTCTTACCTTTTGAAGGGATCTGGGAAATGCTAAAAGGGGTTGTGGTGGTGGTTTTGTTGAAATCGGAGATTTTTCGAAGGGGTCTTATGGATGGCTGGTTCTTTCAGGGAGTGATGAGGTTAGATCTTGTAGTTGTTATGAAGTTTGTTCCTGATTCAGTGAAAGTGATACTCTGGTTATTTTGAAGCTAAATATGATTAGAAATGGTTTATATTCTTGTAACTAAAGCTAAAAAGATCAAAGAGGCATAATAAAATAAAATAATTTTCATATCAGACAAGATTACTCTGATAATATTAAATTTCAAGCTGATCCCTTTAATTACATTTCATTTCAAACATATATTTTTCAAAACTTCTAAATAACTAAAAATATTATTTTCAATACTCCATCTCTAGCAATATTCTTTTAGCTGCTAACTCCAAACTGTTAAAGCTTACCTCCATTGAGTCCTTTCCTTTTTCTCCCAAATCTTGACCCATTCAATTTGCGATTAGTACTCTTCCAAGTCGGGTTTCCACAAGGTGTTTTTGCTTTACGAGAAGACCCACTACGAACATTCTTATTCCACAATGAGTTGAAGTTTGTACTAAAGATTACCTCCAAAGATACCTTATACGGAATAATTTCGAATCCTTATTCCCAAAATCTGACGTTTTAACATTCTTCATCACAGACATATTTTCTTCTATAAACTCACAAAACCAACCGCACTCCGAATTTTATTCTCAATTTCTTTAAAATCAACCCCAAGGTACCTAAACCACCATCAAATTCTCCACAATTTTCTTCCACAATCTCTACTAATTTCCCCTCTAAAATCCCAAAAATTTTCAAAAAATTCAATTTTCACTGCTACAAAATTCTTTATCTCAACCGCTGTTCATTCAAATTCTTCGGCTAATCCAAAACCCGTCAGCTACTTACCCTGTTTCTTCTTGGGGCAGCAGCTCGGACCCATGGGTCCGAGCGTGGGCTGGCCTATAGAAGGTCAAGGAGGGGAAAGTACTGCTGGTACTGCATTTTTGAAAATTCAATATTTTTTTAAGGGTGAGGGGTTTTGGGGTTTTGGGGTTTTGGGGTTTTGGGG